GGACCTCCTACCATTCTTCCTTCTTTTTTTTTCCCCTCCGAAGAGAGAGAGAGAGAGTACTTGGCTAGATGACAACAAGAAGTACCCAAGGGACCATCAAGTATCAACAGAAAAGGTGGCAATTTTTTTTTTAAATATAAAAAAGTGACAAAATTGAGGTCGTAGTTTGATAGTTTCCGGGTTCCTTCTTCAGGCCGTCCATTCCAACTTGGTCATGGTTTTTCCTTGAAAATTTCATGTGCTTGCCCATGTCCGTCATGGCCTCTTGTCTTGTGCTGACACTGCCCCTCCACTGCACTTTTTGCTCTCCCTTGGAAGCTTCATCGTCTCTCCATGAACCCGTCATATTATATAGACAAATTATAGTACCCAACATCATTCTCATCACAAAAAAAAAAAACCAAAAAAAAGTAACAAACATATTTTCACAAACTATGAATGAATACTACATTACTACTGTTATTATAATTACCCTGCAGATAATCAAATATACTGAGCTCACCCTATCTGCAGCTTTAAATTCGCGAAATAATTAAAGTAAACAACACTGCCAACGAAAATTCACTAGCATATTCCGTGTGTCACGCTTTTAAGAATACTAGAATAGAATGGATATTTTAAATTAAGAAATTCACTGTTATATCTAACTAATATTGACTCTTCAGACAATAGTTAGTGGCAAGAGCATGCTTCATTATAAAATTTTGCCTCTCTCTCTCTGTGTTCGTGCTCTGCCTTTTCTTGCGAAATTGTCTTTTCAATTTGGCATTCCGGGACCGTCTAACTTGACCAAAAGAAACATTTTCCAAACTCAGGTGCATACCATTATTTGTGCAATCATTACCGGGCTTCGAGACGGTTTTCCAAGTCTTAAAGCCCATATAATACATGGACTCTCACAAGGGACCGGTGTAGTCCAACGTGAGGAAAGTGTGTATTATGATCCTTTTTAAAAATAAAAATAAAGCTGGAAACTAGAAAGTTGGATCCGAGTCGCCTCAATTGAGAGATGTTAACTATCTTGCTTTGTTTGAATTGAAAGAAAATGTGGAGAAAAATATATTTTTTTTTCTTGTTTGGATGAAGAGAGAGAACAGAGAGAAACGGAAAAAACATGGGAGAAATTTGTTGTTCCGTGAGTGTTCTTCTCTCTCCCACGTTTTTGTTTTCAGAATTTCACACTCCACTCATCGCTACCCCCCTCAACCTAAAAAAAAAAAAAGCGTACAAGCCCCCCTCACTCCAACCCCATGTCTTTCCTTTTTTTTTTTTTTCCTCTGACTCGGAGTAATGATCTCGCAAAAGTCACGCCTCGCTGTGAAGGTGGATTGTATTCAATTTTAATAAGTTATCCTCTTTTAATAATTTTAATTTATTTTTATAAAAATAATTATATAAAACATGATATATTTAAACACAAGAGCACTATATATGGTGATTATATTATTTGTTCATTTTCTTTTTTTATTTTATCTCGTTCATCTGAACAGAAAAAGAAATAGTCTTTTTTACTTATTTTTTTAATTTTCTTTATTTTTAACTTTTTTTTCCATCTAAGCATAGAGTTAGATTGTGGCCTTTTCATCAATACCAATGCTATATCACAATCAGAAGGACAATATATCTCCCTAGCAATATTTTCAAAACCGGATTGATTATTAAATTAGAAAAGTCAGTGGTTTACGATTCGCATGGTTCAACCGAGTTGGATTAATGGTCAAACCGGTGACGTAATAATTAAATTAAATATATATATAATAATTTAAATATAAGAAATACATATAAAATTATTATTTAACTTAAAAAATTAAATGTTTTAAATTTATCGTGACTTAACAAGCCACATGATACAATATAATATCAAATGATAAAAAAATTAGTCATTTTAAAAAAAATGATAAACAAGTTAAAAAAAATTTGAACAATTCAATTTTTGAAAACCGAATTCAATTCCCGGTCTGACCGCTGGTTCAAAACGGCCCAACCCGACTCAACTCCTGAAATGATTTTATCATCTAAACCAAACCAAAATCTAGACCGATCAAGCATCCAATTCGATTCAATTTTGAAAAAACTGCTCCCCAGTTGAAGCTATTGAGGGAGTTTAATTGAGAAATCAAAATTGGATCATCCCACATCCTATTTTTGGCATGAAGGTTTTTGCATTTCAGCAGCCTTGGGTAAATTCACAAGTCTCATCTAAAATGCTACTAACATGAGCGAGTAGTTTTTTTTTAAAAAAAAGTGAGACATGAGCATTTTGACTTAAGGTGAGCCAACAACCAGCAATCCATCAAACTCACCCAAACTTAATCAAAACGGGCAAGTAAAAACTTGCCTCTTGAGAGAAACAATTGGACGAGCTAAAAATGGCTAGCCCATAATTGTTGTAAACGGGTTGGGCAGGCTACCCCTCAGGTTGCTTATCTCGACCCATTTTCAACAAATTGTATTTAAAAAAAATGATTTGAAATTTTCTAACTCCAGCATTATGTTCCACTCTGTAAGAGAAGAAAAGAAAACCCCTTTCAATCTTATATGAGCATTCTCCCAATAGTTCTCAAACAAACCCTCCAAGGCCTCACTCACATAAGCACTCCATTACTCCAAATTTGGGTGACTCATACTCTAGTTCTCAACTCCCATTCATTCAACCATTCTTGAAGACCTGAAGCTTGATCGCTTGCTCTCATCATCTCACCACTCACGTCCAATCTCCACTCCACTCCACTTGACTCATGTCCAAGCTCGGCATTTGATTTTCGCGTTGCGTCTAGAACCCATGGCATGATGTCTCCACTTCTGGCATTTGGAACCCATAGCATAGTGTCTCTGCCTCTGGCATCTAAAACCCATGACACGATGTCTGCCTTCTTCTCCCTCAAGATCTCTTGCTCTCATGGTGTCCCTTGTCGCTTGATCTAACTAGGCCACCAAGTTAGTTCTACAAAATTATATGCTTCGATGGAAGGTTTGAAACTCCGTAAGCAATATCAGATGTTATGTTGATTCACTTGAAGTTATTAACTTGCTCATGATGAGGGTGGAGAAGAAGCCTTGCTACTACTAATGGCTAAACTCACCTCCACTGGAATGAGTGAAGCTGTGAACCTTCTTTTGACTAATAGAGATAATTACTAAGTTTTTTGTTTTTTTTAAAGAGGGTTAATTCGTGAATGGCTGAACTATTGAATTTGATTCAAATTAGTCATGGCTCTAGTCTTTTATTACTCTCCATCTGGATAAGTTTAAATGCTAATTTTTTTTAAATAACTATTTATGCAAAATGAGCTTACTAGTCCGCCCAAATTTGTTTGTGACCTGCCCAATTTATTTTTAAATGAATTAAAACGGGTCATGTATGAGTACTGGCTGACCTGTTTCGTTTTGGGCAAAACGCGACGGGCTGTGGACAGCCTCACAAGCCAACCCAGCCCGTCCCGTCCGTTTTGACGAGGGAAGAACAAAGTGGGGACAACAATCTCACAGGTGGCGTAATATGGAAACAGCATGATGTCACGTCAGCAGTTGCATGGAGAAAATAAAATACACGTAAACTCCATCAATGGGCCCCACGTTGGCCCAAAGAATTATCAAGCTCCCACCCACGTGTGAATGCCACGTGTATAAAGATCCTTTGGTTTTGCTTGTTAGATCACGACACGTGGATTGGTGACCTCACGCCTGGTCTGATTCTGATCTTGTTGGGCTCCTTCCAGTCATTCTCACCCCACGCTAATAAATACGATAATACGACATCAAATAAAATTATGGAAACCTGCAGGATCTTGCTTGCATTCGCGACGTTGAATTTTGTTTTTTTTTTTTCGAAAAAGAAATCACTTTTATGAAATATTTGGTACTCAACGGACAAAATATAGATAAGTAGACAAACAAAAAATTGACCAAAAATTGTTGATTTTGAATGAAATGAAATCCTCTCGTAAATTGTATATGTTGCGTAAGAAAATTATTCGTGAATGTAATCCACGATAACGTGACGGATGGAGTGCCCAGTCCACAGTCCATATATAATGTCAAGATTCAAGAAAAAGAAAACTTTGGTGCGAGTCCCGTGTGTGGTTAGAGCAGTGCCCAAAACACAAGCAAAGGACTCTTGAGAAATGAACATTTCTTTTCATCAAAGGCAAAAATCGATTCCGTGATATTATTGGCTCCGGTGCATGTTCTTGTTGAGTTGACCCGTACACAACCATTTGTCAACAAGCAGCAGTTGACATTCGAGTTTAAGCAATTGGACACGGCTAAGAACAATTCATGGATATGCCTGCTTCTGCTCCCTCTAACCCCTTCAAAACGTTGTGCTGGAGTTTTCAGACTGAACTATTTTTGAGTGAAACGCACAAAATATCTCAACATTTTCACCTGCACAATAATTTCCGTTTTTTCTGGCCAATAATGATTTCCCTTGATCAGACATAAAGCTCCATACTAATATATATATATATATATATATAATTAAGAATAATGAGCCAAAATTTCTATGCCGATATCGATCGAGAAAGAGATTTGCTACGGATCTAACCACGTCGGTGACTAATCAACTCATTAGCTTAACAAACATCTGTTTTTAGAAAAGTAAATGTCTTAGGATGCAAGCAAAATCTGGCCATGATGGTATGAGAATAACTTAAGATCATACATGCTTAAACTTATTTCATATTAATAAAAATATCGTTGATTAATACAAAAACAGACAGGTGTCCGTATCCATGATCAGCCAACTGAGAGGATGATGAACTGGTGCAAGCCTCGGATGGACATGCTTAATGAGACTGACACAACAGTCCAACTAATATTTAAATTAAATCGCTTTCTCTTGTTGAAAGAATGAAACTGACATCTCTGTGGAGATAATATATCTGAAATTTAACCGTGTACGCGTTTCTGCTCCTGTATGTGTGTGCATTTACAAAATTTATATAGATTTATTATTTTTACGAGAAGACATGAACAATGTGAAAGGTCAAGGCTCCACAAGCAAATAAAATAAATGATGATAATTATTTTTAAATAAGCTCCAGAGGTTCCTATCTCGCTCTGCCTTTCCCTCGGGGAAAGCTGGAAAACGCACACTAGTGCTGCTGCTGCTACTGTCCACTTCATCTCCGATCACTCTGCGTCGCTATGTTGAATGATCACAGGGCTTCTACTAGCCACAGAAGAGACGAGGAAGAAGAAGATGAAGAAGAAATAAGAGAAATCCACGCCTTGACACCACCTCGTCCTCCTCCACCCACTAACCGTGGCCGTCGGAGAGACTCTTGGGAAACACATAGCCGCCGATCGTCGTCTCTGTCCGTGGCCAGCACTGAAGCTGCTTCCGTCGAGAACTTCACCAGCATGAGCAGAGAATTCAGTGCTCTGGTTATGGCAGGATCGAGCATTAGCGGTCGTAACTACAGCACTCATTTGAACGGCCATGAAAACGAAGGAGGCAACAACTTGGGGAGGATCAGAGAAGAGGACATGACGGAGGAGACAAACCCACTGGCGATCGTGCCCGATCCTAACCCGCTGGGAATGCGAATCGGGTCCACTTCCAATGGTGAAGGTGAAGTAGTGTCGGTGCAGAGGGTGAAGAAGGAAGAGGTGGAGGCCAAGATATCTGCGTGGCAGAACGCTAAGATTGCTAAGATCAATAATAGGTTCAAAAGAGAAGACGCTGTCATCTCTGGGTGGGAAAGTGACCAGGTTCAGAAAGCTACTTCTTGGATGAAGAAAGTCGAGGTATATCCGTATGTTCCTTTTGTATTTGTGATCATGTGTGATTAATTTGTGTGTCTGAATTTTGTGGGGACGTTGCTGCTTCTTTCGAGTTCTTGAATACCCTGTTGTTCATTAGATTCATTAATCATTCATTAAAATTCACGAAGCAAACAAAAGCTGAATGAGATTCACTGATCTACTGAAAATGTTCTGTGTAAAGCCGAAGCGAGACTAAGTCTAAGCTTCTCCTCCTGCTCCTTTTTTCCCATGCACAGTTGGTGCTTTCATGGCGATTTGAAGCCAGAACATCATTTATGGCGTAGAGTCGCTATCCATATTTTCTTTTAGTAGGACTCTCGGTGTTCATTGATTGCCTATAACGGAAGCTACTCCAATCAGAAGGAGGTGGAAAGTAATGTGCTATGGCAACTTGCAACATATATATATATATATATATTTATATCTAATAATTGACATTCATATTAACCTGCACTCAGATTACATTGCATGTTCATGGATTGTATGCATTAAACGGAAACCATCAGTTTAAATTCTGCTGACAAATATAATGACAATTTTGCCTGTGAACCCCGATGATGCAGAGGAAGCTGGAGGAGAAAAGGGCAAAAGCTTTGGAAAAGATGCAAAACGGCATCGCAAAAGCTAGAAGGAAGGCTGAGGAGAAAAGGGCATCAGCAGAAGGCAGAAGAGGAACTAAAGTGGCTAAAATTCTCGAAATCGCCAATCTCATGAGAGCAGTTGGTAAATTTCCAGCCAAAAGATCCTTCTTTTAATCTCCGCTATATCTTGTATATTTTAAATTTCATTTTTTTTTTGGGACAAACAATATGTTTAGATACTCCTACATATTATGTGGATCATAGCTGTCCTCATGTCATGGTCTGTGGGTGCCCGAAAAAGAAGGGCAGCTATCATATAATTATGAACCAACTGGGGTGATTTTGAGTGATTGGCTTAAGCGTACTGGCTAGAAATACCATTTGGAGTGTTTTTGGGTTTTGTAGAGTGTAGATTAATTTATTGATTCCCTGGTTTGGTGCTTCACCTAATGTGCTACTTTTGGGCAAAAAATATGAAATTATACATAATTACATGGGCCACCACCAAATGGGCCCTGCAAAAAAGTCTACCTAATCTATTGGTACTTCTTGGGACAGCTGAAAAATTGGTCATCTTATCGCCAAATAAAAATCACGCGGCTTCCTCGCACCTCAATCACTGCAAAATCATTTCTAATTTAGATGAACCATCAAACGGTACAGATCAATAGATGATTTGCAATGTTTTTAATCAGCAAATTAAAGAAGTCAGCTAGAAATAGAAGACATCATCAGATCTCTGTCACTTGCGGCTAGTTTAGATAGTTCTGATAGGGTAAGATGTGAGCAGCATTTAAGGTTTAAACCCTCACAATATCAAAAAACAAAAACATGAATGAAGAACGGATATCCAAAATTAATGGACTGTTTTTTTTTTGGTGAATAAATTACATAAAGCAGTTAGCTGATGATGGAGGAAGCCAACCTCTTGAGAAGAGCCTAAAAATGTTTAAAAGTGAGAATGTTTCGTCTGCATTTAAGGAATTTAAAAAAAAAAAAGGTGAAATTGATGAAGTATGATTAAATAAAGGGAAAAGAAGTTAAAGATTAGACAAGGGACAACTTTAGTAGGGTGAACCTTTTCAAATAGTTGTGGCCGTTTAACTAGTGTATGTTGACACTAGATCTAATATCTCAACTTATAAAAACAAATGATATTAAACAAAATAATGTGTGTGTAAAGAATCTATAATCGTTAGAAATAGCTCGATTATCTTGAGTATAGATAGATACATAGTCCACAAGACTCTCATAGTTTGCAAATAGTTTAGAAATAATAGAAATAAATAAAAAACTATCTTGTGTATTGTGGTTATTGACTGATTGGCTTATAAGAACCAGATCAGTAACCACCTTAATAAATAAATAAATAAATTATATTATATTTTATTATCTATAACTCAGTTAGTTAAGAGATAGGGAATAACTGATGGCTATAAAATTATAAGTTAGGCATCTGCCTATTAGATTCATTTATGTGATCCTCCTATCACAATCCATATAAAATCATAAAAACCAATATATTTGGATTAATTAATGTAAATTCATAAATAAATATTCTAACAGTGAAAATAATCAATTAAGCAGCAAAATTGCTTGCATGCAATCTTATCAACCATAAATATGGCTCTAGAAACAAAAAGTGAAAGGTTAGAAACAGTGGAAATAATTGAAAGTGTTGTGTTTTGGGGTGCACCACATATACTTACTTGGACGGTGAGGGAGAAACCTCGCACCAATGGGGAGGCAATTTTGAGCATTACTAGACTGGAAAAGGATGGGTTACCGACACCGGACACATTGTCAAAGAAATAGACGAGCAGATATGGCGTCTTGGTCTGGTAAGTTCGTTACCCGACAAAAAGAGAATGTCAATCTCATACAGGAGAGGAGAAATCCCTCCACCTAATCTGGCACCATATTCATATTGCATTTTCAAGGAAGCTCACCAATCATTATTCCTGATTCCGGAAGAACCACTTGAAGGCTTCATAGAAACTTAAAATTCATGAAGTGCATGCATCTGGCGAAGCCCTGAATCTCAAGTTAAAGAGTTATGGATTCCTGAACGATTTTAAGTTACTCGCAATATTAACAATCATCGGAATGAACGTATAGAGAAGCTCTGTTTTTTTTTTTTTTTATCGTGAATAAGTATGTATCTATCGGAAGTAATTCAGTTTGAAACACAATTGAACACTAAATATAGCTTCAAATAAAAATGTTGTGAGGAACTAATCCTTTATATTAAACTCAGACCTGTTGATAAATTGTGAATTTAATGTCGTGTGAAATACTGAAACTAGGACGCCGGGGGCCAAAATGAATTTTGACGATGGCCCGACTAGTGTTGTGTAAGTGGGCTGGATTATAATATAGAGGGGCCTTGATTTGGATAGAGAATCAGCAACTCTGTGTAGATAAGTTGGGATATTTCCAACTCTAGCTTTGTGAATTTGTGACCCCAACTATCACAATGTTCATTGTTCCCATTTTTTGGGGCGATGGCCATCTGTTAGGTGTGTTTCCATATATGCATGAAGCTGCTTTTGCTTAAAAATTTTAGTAATATATCAAATTAGTTCTAAAATCAAACAATTTCTTTCGCACTTAAATTTTATGGAAAAGTGTGAAAAAGATTGAGGGATTTTAAAAAGGGTGGCATGGAGCATAAATTTTAATGAATTTTTAATTGGATAAATATTGAGGAGGCCACATGTACTTTGTCACAAAATGGAGCCTGGATCTTGTATTTGTATTTCTTGTTCCTACGATATGGTTCAATGAAAGGTGGGGTCATGACGATGAAATAGAGCTATACAAAAGCTTACACAGTATTAAATTTTAACTTAACCTGAAATTCAATTTCTTTTATGAAAAGAATTGATTTAGGCAACTCGTAATTCAGTAATAACTCAAAAATTAACAGAATCAGACTTGATTCATAAGATCAGAAGACTGATCCTGTTAATCCAGTATTCACTTAACTATTTGTTCCCTTTTTCCTTTATGAGAGACAATAATTTATTTCAACCTAATAAACTTAATTAAGATAATAAAATCACTTATAATCATAATAAATTCAAAATAATTTCCAACAACAAGAAAGAAATATTTTAATTACAGTCTAAATGATTTAAATTTGTAATTTCAACAAAAACAACACTCAATAAACTTCAACAACATTACATCAGAACAACAATTTAAAAATAAATTCAACAAATCTTTATGCAATCATCTTCTTAGCGTCAATTATATTTGAAACATTTATCAAAAATAAATTAATTATAATTATATTAAATAAATTAATAGGACTGAATTGGACTAAGTGATCCAGATGCTCATTCTCTTGTCCAATCCAACCCAAAAAAAATAATTTAGTCTTTTCATTCTTTTTTATCATAAATCACCAATGTTTATAAAGAATGAATAGGATATAATCATTTCAAATTGAATTGGGTCGGATTAAGTTGAAAGACTTTTGTACAGCTCTAGGGCAAAGATAAAAGAGGTTCTATAAGCAACAAGAGGAAATGGAAGGTGGCGGTAGGGACGAGAAGCATTGGCGAATGAAATATAATTAATTAATAAATTGCCTGGAACACCTGTGGGCTGGGCCATACTACTTTCTCTCATTCTAATCATAAAGATATAATTAACTAATTTTATAATTTTTAATGAGTGATAATTGATATTTTCAAATTTTATGAAAATAAAAAAATGTATGATTTTTAATGTTGTTTTTTTTACTGAAATTAGTGATCATAAAAAATGCTATATAAGAATTGGAAGCATATCAATAAAATTCATTGCAATTAAAAAAAAATAACTATCACATCTTTATTTTATATTTAAAATTAAGTACACATTTCTCACCCAAAATAAAGGCTTTTAAAACTTTAGCCTATAATTAAAGCCACATCAAGTATAGATGAAGACTTGAAATATGGAGGTAGAGTCAAGAATAAGGGCCAGGCCTGAAGGAATGGGCTTGGAGGCCCTATTTAAATAAGGATTTAAGCTTTAATTTTTTTTAAAGAAATCGAGCTTGAGTACCTAACCCTAATAAGCCCTGTGAAAAAGGGCCCGAGCCTGAATGGCCTTCCAAGCTTTGATAAACTTGGTTATCTTATATACACACAAACATACATATATTTGATAATGACACAATTTGGTTAATATTTATTATAAGTGATGAAGAAAAAGTTATAAAGGTAATTGACATTGAATCTTTACCTCTATTTTTAATAAGTGTACTTACATACAAGTGATCTAATGTTTTATTTGTAGATGAGAAGGATGAGGAGGATTTGGATTTTGATTGATGAATGTGTGTTGTTTAGATTTCTAAATATGTTATTTAATTTTTAAAATATTATGATGATTTTAATTTTTTTAATTTTAAAATATTTTAATTAATTTATAATTTTTAATTTTAATTTAATTTTTATAACAGGACTTTCGGGCTTAGCCTTGAGTCCTTTACATAAGGGCTAGACCTCATAAAAGGGACTGCAAATGAAGAATCAAGCTCAAGGGCCTAAGCCCTTAAGAGTCGGGTTCGCCCGTATTTTCAACTATATGTGAAGGCTGTTCTAGTGTGTTGAGAGTTGAAAGTTAAAACCTAGCCTTTGAAGAGGAAGGGCACCGTTCTTCTTTTACTCTCTTGTTTCCACACCATGACTATGCATTCAACTATCGTGTCCTTCTTCTTTTTTTTAGGCCAAAACAATTATTCATTGTCTTTATTATACTTTTTGTTTGGTCTAGTTTTAGAGTATCATATTCATACCCCTTTGAATTTGTTAGTGTGCCAAAGAAGTGATATTGTCCAATGAGTCAGTGATCATTGATCGTGAGTCTTTAAGATAATTTGTCATAATTTTTTAGAATGTTTAAGTGATTGAGAACTTAGAGAATGTGAATATGTGTAAAGAAATGATAGTTTATTCCTTAGAAACAAGTACAATGAAATTGCTCTGATTATTAGAGAGAAAAAGAAAATAATGAATCTAGATGAACTGAATTATGGTGTAGGGCTAAAATATGAAACATCACTCGATAAGTTATTTGGGCTAAGCAACTAAAGAGTCAGACTCAATTCAAACGAAAGGGCCAACCCTGAGCTCAATAGAAGGCCACAATAGGGTAAACATGCCAAAATCCCATCAATTATAAACATTAGACTGTTGGCACACAAAGATACAATCCTAAGTGATTTCAAAATTCACGAACATCATGTCCAAATATCTCGGTGAGACAGATTGATTGCCAAAAATAAAAAACACTAAGTAAAGACCATGCCATGAGTTTTGCAGAATCCTTGATTCTTCGACAGAATGTTCTATCCTAAGGGAGAGGCTACCATCATTTTGACACTATAAATAGGATATGAAAATGCAGAGGAAGGACAGTTAACACTCAACAGAGACTCGCATTTTTCACTCATAACTTTTTAGTTTTAACAATTAGTTTTTACCTTTAAATTAGACTTGTAATCCTTTTATATTTTAATAAAAATAAAAAAACACTTGTTCTCCAAATCTTGCGTATCTTTTATATCCGAGTGAATTGTGGTAAGGAAACTCAGAATCCTTTTATTATTATTTGAGACTCAGCGTCTCCGACACCTTAGTTATTTATTGTTCACACACAAACATATGGATTAAAGGGTTGTGCTAAGAGAGTTTTGGTTTAAAGCATAATCAAGTGGTTTGGGTAGTTTGGTTTGTTGAAATTGTTGAAGAGAAACCACCAATTATGCATTCATTGCCTCTTATATGAGTAGCCAATAATGCTCTGATTTGAATTTGAATTTTGCTAGTCAACTAGAGTTGTAATTGTCCGTGCTTGATTGTGGAGAATGGGACACCTTGGCAAGAGAACATCTTGGGGTAGACAATATGAGATTTTTGGGTCACATTCTTTGAACTTGATTATCACTTTTTCTAAATGAGGTGTTTCCATTCACTTAAGGGAGATTTGGCCTCTTGAATTACTTAAGTTGGGCAGACATGGTGTAATTCTTATGCTGGGCCTAATATTCCTAGCTTTTTCAATTCTAACACTTTTGAAATAAATAAAAAAACAGAGAGAGTTGTAGGACATCACAAACTACTCCCTTCAATATCAATTTTAGGGCATAATTTTTTTGATACAAAGCACTTGGTGGAATATTAATTATATTTTTTAATGTTACTTCTATTTAATCATTACCTGCTAGAGAGAATGTAATGTAAATTTAAAATTTTTATTTAAATAATGACAAAATTAAAAGTTTATTATATTTTTATACAAAGCTAATGACTTAATCAATTCTTTTTATTTTGATAATTGGAAATCCCTTATAATAGAAATTAGAAGGAGTACATACCAAATAATAATAAAAATAAAGAATAACCTCACAATTTATGATGCATTGATTTTAGGGTTAAGGGGTCATATATGTTTTTGAACCGTACATGAAAGGTTATAAATGTTCATAAACTTAACTATGAGTAAATTTGGTCTCTCAACATTAAAAATTTCTTCTATCATCATCTTGACATTAAAAACACTTAACGTCTGTCGGTTATAAGTGGGTTTCATTATTTTTTAATATTTTTACAAGGTTAAGGGTCATTTTTACCTTTCAACTTAAATATTTTATTATAAAAATATTAAAAAAATAATGTATGGCTCACTAACGGTGGGAAAATGACAAGGCGATGAGGAAGATAATCTTTAAAGATGGAAAATAGAATTAACTATAATTAAGTTTATAAATATTTGTAATCTTCTTTGTACAGTTTAAAGACAAAAATTATCCTTAGCCTTAAATAGCTAATCATTAACAACTTGGCAATTACTCCCTCAATCCTAAATTATAAGGCATTTTTAAAAGAATTTGTTCATCTCAAAACATAAGACACTTTTGATAGATTAAGGTTTCATCAAATACGTCAATTTTAATATTATTCTTTCTTTCTTTATAATTATTTTTCGTCCATTCTTTTTTTAATATATCAAATGATAAGTATTTTTAAAAGCTTATATTTTTATTTTAGAAAGATAAGATTGTTAAGTATATTTAATAAAATTTATTAATATGTAAAAATTTATGTATAAGTATTTTATAATTTAGAACAAAGGAGTTCTATTTATTACTCTCTCCATCCTAAATTATAAGATACTCTTAGATAAAATTTTACATACTAATAAACTTTATTAAATATACTTAATAACCTTATCTTTTCAAAATAAAAATATAAACTTTTAAAAATACTCATCATTTAATATATTAAAAAAAGAAGAGATAAAAATTAATTATAAAGAGAGAACTGATAATATAAGAATTGATGTATTTAATAAAATATTATTTTACTCAAAATATTTTATATTTTAAAATAATTTTTTTTAAAAAATGTTCTATAATTTTGGAGGTGGGAGTAATTTTTTTTTGTTCATCGAAAGCTCCTCGAAATGTTCTTTCTCCCACAATCGTACCCTTCTCGTGCCTCGGGCCCGGCACTCGGGAGGAACGAGCAAAATCATCGTTTGCCTAGTCGCCAAGAAATGGAATGAACCAAAACGCAGGGGACAAAAAAAAAAAAAAAAAGGAAGGAAGAAGTAAAGGCACCCCTTCTAGAAGATCTCATGTGGACCACAAGTACGATCTCAAGCACGATCATGCTACCAACGTGTCAGTTGGGAGTTTGGCCGTTGACTAGGATTACGTTGTCCATCCCTTGATTCACCCTGATATTCCTCGTTCATATTTTTATTCTCATGGCCGGCGTCTGTATGGTATGAACGTATAACAGTTGCCTTTATTTAACTATTTTGCACTTTTTCTACAGTATAATATAAATATAATGGATGGATGGATGGATTTGCTGGCAGAAATCACCGAGGAAATGGACAAAGTACGTCTATAGGTTTTCTGCCCTTCCATACAAATTGCAACGGAATAATAAATACTTTCCCCCGTTTAAAAATATAATTTTTAATTAAATTTCATTTCAATAAAATAATTATTTATTTTTAAATTAATTTTATTTTTTATATTTACTCTTATTTAATAAAATATTTTACTTTAAAATAAATATAAAATAATTTATTTAATAATAATACTTTAAAAAATAATAATTACATTTTAATAATTAAAAATTCTTTATTTTTTAAATATATAACCCCTCAAACAAATAATTTATATTTTTTTTTAACAGAGGGAGCAATACGTTTAGATGAAATTTCTTATGACGGATGGAGATAAATTTTACAAATATTCTCTACATGTAAATTATATTTAATTTTTAATGATTAAATAAAAATACATATTTACATTATCTCCGTAATCAAAGTTGGAAAAACATCTCCAGACTCCAGAAACTGAAAAGTTGATTAAGGACTTATGATTTGTTTTTTGGACAAATTAGGCGAGTAGTTTAGTTAGTTGCCATTTCCCGCTGAAACATCGAGGAGTTTTGGGAAGAAAATCCTAGACAGAGAAAGAGTTTTATCAGTTCGAGGGAAGGACGGTGGACGAGGCTTGATCGATGCAAATTTGACCATCGCCTTCCTCCCGTTAGCGCTAAAGTCATCTTTCTCTCCACCTTTTACTTCCCGAAATTCTCCTTTCACATCCTTACATCATCATTCCGTCCTCTTCTTTATAGATTTGCTTTTCCTTGAAATCCTCACCATTTCTTCAACATTCCATTTGTCTGGAAATTATCACCATTTTCAATTCCCCAATAGCTGTTGAATATATCCAGGATTCAGTTGGGGGTAATGGAGCATCAGAAGTGAAGCGACATCTTCAATTAGATCATATAACCATAGTTTGCTTATCGAGGCGAGATTTGAATGCGTTTGGATATCTATTGGCTCGAATCCTTCCTTGCTTACCCTCTCAGGCTTGATATCTCCTGAGATCCATGGGTAACTGTTGCATTACTCCATTTGGCATTCACGATAAGAAAAAGAAGGGGAATAGAAACAAACAGAACCTGTTTGCGATTGATTTCGGTCAAAATTATGGAAATGGTGGGAGCAAGATCGACGTTTTGAAGGAGCCGACAGGCCGCGAAATTGAGCTCAAATACGAGCTGGGTCGCGAGCTTGGAAGAGGGGAATTCGGAGTTACCTACCTATGCACCGATAAAGAGACTGGTGAGAATTTCGCTTGTAAATCGATATCAAAGAAAAAGTTGAGAACAGCCGTTGATATTGAGGATGTGAAGAGAGAAGTTGAGATCATGAAGCATTTTCCACAACACCTAAATATTGTGAACTTAAAGGACACTTATGAGGACGACAATGCTGTCCATCTTGTGATGGAACTGTGTGAGGGAGGAGAATTGTTCGATCGGATAGTTGCGCGCGGACACTACACAGAAAGGGCTGCTGCAGTTGTCATACGGACAATCGTTGAAGTCGTCCAGGTTGGGTTTTGAGAATATGAGATTTTAAATCACAAGTTTGGTTTATTTGCAAAGTGCAGTGTTCAATCTGCTACTGGTATGAAAATTTCACAAATCTAGAAATAGCTCTAAACAAACGCCTTTTGATCTTTATTTTAATGAAATTGAGCGCCCTTTGTGTTGAGACGTTTATGTGTGATAACTAAAAATAATTTTTGGTGCATTTTTTAATCGAGCAATAAGCACAGTATTTGTGACCTTCGAATAGTGATGTTTACTGTAAATTTTATATTTTATATTATATATTGAATATCTAATATTGATTGGATGATTTGATTAACTGGACATACAGGCGGATTAGTTCACATATTTTTGTTTGGTTAGCTTTTGCTTCTCGTCTCGTGTATAAATTTCTCCTTTTGTCTGAGTAGGACTTTACTGTGATTATGTGATATATCTACACACACACACACATTAAATGGCCTCCTTGTCTTGGGTCCAAGAGTTAGTTTACGATGCTCAATTATATTATTAAAGGAAAAGAGCTTCGTGTCCTCTACCTTGATAATCTGTATTTTTGTTCAATTGCTCATCCGTACTAACTTTTAAGGTTAATATTTGCCAAGTGACGCATCATGTTTTTATTTTGTGTGGATTCTTTGCACATCATTTACACTGCCGCCTTTGTATCGTTCAAGAGTTAGGTATTTTGTTGGATTTGAATTTTATGGTGTTGCAGGTGTGCCACAAACATGGTGTGATGCATCGGGATCTCAAACCTGAGAACTTTTTGTTTGCAAGCAAGAAGGAAACATCACTTCTGAAGGTTATTGATTTTGGATTGTCAGTATTCTTCAAACCTGGTAATGCCTTTGGTTTAGCAATAGAATCTTTTATTATATTGTTGCTTGACTTTCACCACTAGTGGCTGCCATCCATGAAATAACAGTTAGCTGAAGTTTGCCATTTCCTGTAGGTGAAAAATTTAACGAGATAGTTGGAAGCCCCTATTACATGGCTCCTGAGGTATTGAAACGTAATTATGGCCCAGAAGTAGACATCTGGAGTGCCGGAGTGATTCTGTACATCTTACTTTGCGGTGTCCCACCATTTTGGGCAGGTTATTTTCTTTTGTCAATGATATTTTTTAAGCTTTTGCCCAAGTAAGATCTTAAATGGCTACGAACCCTCTTTTAAGCCACTTTGGGCTTGAACTAGCCTTTTAAAATTATTCTTATAACAGTAACGAAATTATAGAAGGAAATCACATGTCATTAAATGTTTTTCAATATGGTGAAAAGTAGTTTGTTTGTTATTAGCGAATTGATACTATTTTCTAACTAGTCCCTGGCATCTACCTAGAATGTTGTAAAGACGGAAAGGTGGGCATTATTCCTTGGTTACAGTTACGAGTATTGGCTATGAATGCTAAGATGACTTATTGTATTATTAGCAACACTAACAGATTAACTCTCATAAATTGGTTGACCATTTTTTTGTCATAGATAGATAGATAGACAGACACACTCACATATTCCATCTTCATAATAAGATAGACATTATAGTTCCAGTTTACTTATTTGCATTCATGTTGTTTCTTTTCTAAATCATCTCTCTCCAAATGCAGAAACTGAACAGGGAGTTGCACAGGCAATCATACGATCTGTTGTTGATTTTAAAAGGGATCCGTGGCCTAAGGTCTCTGATAATGCAAAGGATCTTGTGAAGAAGATGCTTAATCCCAACCCACAGCAGCGTCTTACTGCTCAAGAAGTGTTAGGTACGTCACATTTACGTCACATTTTTTACAAAGGGCTTCAAGGAGATAAATATTAGTCTGCATTGTATAAAACTTCTGCCCAGCATCACATTTTTTTTTTTTTGGTTCAAATTTGTGAGATTGAAATGTGCTTGTTCACTGAACGCAGACCATCCATGGTTACAGAATGCCCAAAAAGCTCCTAATGTTTCACTGGGAGAAACCGTCAGGGCAAGGCTCAAGCAATTCTCTGCCATGAACAAGCTCAAGAAAAGGGCTTTAGGGGTAATGTGTTGAAAAGATATTTGAATACTTTTAAAGGATCCTCTGTCATATCTTTTTGTCAATTTAATCATTCTAATTCACCATTGTTTTTTGAATTTTTAATGTAATTTCATGTCATCAGGTGATTGCGGAGTACTTGTCAGTCGAAGAAGTTTCCGGATTAAAGGAGAGATTCCAACTGATGGATGTGAGTAACAGAGGCAAGATTAACAGTGATGAACTACAAGCAGGGTTGCATAAATTAGGGCATCCTATTACTAATGAAGACCTTCGAATTCTCATGGAAGCTGTGAGTATACCCTTCTACCTTGAATCTTCACTTCACAACAGCTTAGAATTTTGAATGTTGAAGGCATGGAAGTCTTTTGTTTTTTTAAGAGGGCGTGTGTGTGTGTGTGTTTTTTTTTTTGTGGGAGGTGTCGATGGGGAGGGTGGAAAAGATAATTTGGAGTCCTATGAGGTTGTGAAGAGGGTTAGAGGAACCAACAAGAACACTGAAAAAAAAAATTGAGACATTTTGGTTAATGATAAATCTAAAGATTTACTTGTTGATAGAGTATGATATCCTACCTAGTGGATTAAAGTTTGTTGTTGTTCAAATAAAATGGGTACTTTTGTCACTCATTTTTTTTATTTTGTTCAAATTATTTTGTGAGATATACTGAAGCAAATACAAACGTATTATTACTTAGAATAGTTGCATTAATTCATTCACCATGCTTTCATAAAAAATAGCCACAACCATAGAAGTTAATAATTCTCCTTGTTTCCTTTCTCTCTTCCTCAAATATATTTGCATATTAAAATAAAGAACATAAATAAAATGTTAATTGCACCATTCCAACTGCATTATTTTTGAAAATACATGCCATTGGGCTTCAGCTTCTAATGCTTGGAGACTTCCTTAATTCCTTTGCAGGGTGACGTAGATAAGGATGGGCACTTGGATTATGGAGAATTTGTGGCCATTTCTATTCATCTGAAGAGGATGGGCAATGATGAGCACCTTCACAAAGCTTTCCAATTTTTTGACAAGAACAATAGTGGGTATATCGAAATTGAGGAGCTACGTGAGGCCTTAGCCGATGAAGTTGATACAAACAATGATGTTATTTGTGCAATTATGCATGATGTGGACACAGATAAGGTAGTTTATTCTCCCTTCTGCCAATCTTAAATTATGTTGAGTCAATTTGATAAGTAATTTTGTCTTATTTACTCGATTATGCTTTTCCAGTTGAGCATTTGTTTGATGATTTGACAAAATCCAAATTTAAACCACTTACTTGTCAAGCGCAAGCTTGAGAGGCTTCTAAAGTACTTGAATTAGTTCTCTGTGTAAAATGTTGAAGGTAGTTGACCTTAGAATTTTTTTGGAATCCTGCAAACGTTCATTGTCATAATCATATGCACAATCATTAGTACTTTCTAACGGATTTATTTTGTTGTACGAGCCTGCTGGTATATTCAACACAACATCTCTGCATTTTCATTTCCCAAAACTTGGATTTATTGCATTTCTGTACTTTCTGGAAGACACGTGGGTTCTCTCCTCTAGTGCTTTTCATAATGGATTACCTTTATCAAGCTCTATAGTGATATGAATGTGATTGCTGATCTGTGTTTCATATAGAGCAACACCTTGATCTTGGCTCTATGAACTTGTAGGATGGAAAAATAAGCTATGAGGAGTTTGATGCAATGATGAAGGCCGGCACAGATTGGAGAAAAGCATCAAGGCAGTATTCACGAGAGAGATTTAGCACTCTGAGCCTGAAATTGATGAGGGATGGGTCATTGAGATAAAATGCTAGCCTTCCACTTCTGTCCTCCATTGCAGTTCTTTTCTCCCTTGACTTCTGTTATATCCCTACGAGAAAACCCTTCTTTTGAGATGAAGTGTAGGATACTGTTAAGAGTATACGATGTCTGTGAATTGGACCGTGTCTCTTCTGTTAGTTGAGTGAAGTTTTGGAGAAATGACTGCGAGAGGATTGGGCGAGTCATAATTGGAGACTGTAAATACGCTAAATTGTTATGCTCATGGAAGGAAAAGTCATATGCCATTTCTGACAAGATGATGTTTTAGAGGCAGAAGACAGACGCACTTCCTCAGTTACTCGCAATAACGAAGGCACCCTCTTATTGGAATAATCAATTTTTACAGTTCTTGCTGACCTTTTGACTGCGGTGTATGGAGAATGATGCAGAAGGAGAATTAGAACAAACTTGTGTGAGAGCAGAAATGTATTAGCAAAAACATGGCTAAAATTTGAGATTTATGGCTTGTTCTGTATTTATTTCGAACCCAATGGATGCATCATTCATTGACAACTGACAGAGAGGCCATCTCATGTTGAATTATAGTATTGTCATACTATTTATTCAATAATTTTCATAAATGAATTTATTTAATTCAAAAAATTTATCTGCTTTAGAATCCTCTAAGCAACAGGGCGGAGAGTTTAAAATGATTTCCTAAACATATCTACACAAGCGTGCGCTTATTTTTGTATTGACATGTTATGATCAGAACTGTGGAATTTTTTTTTAAAAAGTGTTTTTAATATAGGTAACGAGAAAATAAAAAAGATAAGATAACTATTTCTTTTTATGTAATTCTTTTTTTTTATCCAAAGACATTGTTAGTAGTGACATTCAGTCTTCGCAAACTATCGGCCGACCTGACGTGGATGATGTCTTTTGTTAACAATGGCTTTGAAGGTGCAAACAAATATTGTGATCAGAGTTACAAAACTGTTAAATGATACAAGGGTGGCAGTAGACTAGGGGTACAAGTGATGTTATACACTATAACACTCTCCGCCAAGAGGTATATATGATGTAGGATTCCTCTCAAAATTTTAAAAAATTCACGTATTCCTTTATATTTTGCTCGACCAAAATGTTAAGTATTTAATTTTCATATTTAGGTAAAAAAATTATATTGCATACACCAATGTAATAAATTTATTTATTACAGTTCTTTCTATAAATTATTAGTATTTATAACTTCAAACTTTAGCCATTTTGTTTTGATAATAATAAAGTTGTACTTGATTACCTTTCTCATATTCAAGGCTACATGTGGGGAAGAAAGAGATAGGTTATACTTTGGAGACGGAAAAAAAAAAAAGGGAAGTGAGGTTTGCAGCAAAATATTAAACAAATATGAGATAGAGATGAATTTGTGGTGAGGAAGCATTATTGTAATCTTAGATGAATCAATAATTGGAAGTGATCTAATAAATTGTCAACCACTTATCTTTCAACTTTTTTTTCTATGAATGGCCAAATGATCAGTTAGAAAGGGGTGAAAAAAATTATTGAGTGAGAAAGTGGGAAAAATTTTGGAGAGAAAGGGTGGGATATAGTAAGATTTTTTTTTTAAATCTTTCTCATCTTTTAATAATAATTTTTTAACTAATATTATTGTTTAGTTTCTATTAAAATCCTTTTAAATATTTGTTATCAATTATTTTGGTGCTTTCATATGTATTTTAATCTCTCAACCACACACACCATTAGACTAGAATAAAATATAATTTTTCATTTTATGAATGAGTGAAAGGAAATGACGTAAAAAAGGGGGCAAATTATGCAAATGTAGCTCATATGTTAGGAGCTCTAGTTATAATTTATGCTTCTTATAATATATACTTCTTTTTATTCTTATTATACGACACTTTCAACTGTTTTATATATCTTAAGAAAAGTTAATTTTTTCTTGCTATCATCAAAAAGTGAGATGTATTTTATTTTTACCATTGGCTTTAAATAATAATACAACTGTATAAAATATCTTCACACTAATCAAAAAGGGACAAAATTAAAAAAATAATTTAATTATTATAAAGTGTCTTATATTTTAAATTAAAAATTATTTTTAAAATATGTTTTATAAATAGGATCGAGTGAGAATATACAACCTTTGTTACTAGGTGAACGTGACAAAGGAAAGGAAATGAGAAAATGAGGCAAATTACACACAATCACTTCACTCACAAGCTAGAAGTTATAGTTGTAATTTATGCTTTTTGTAATACACACACATTTAATTAGCGTGTAGTCTTTTTATAAGCATAATTATTTACTTATAATTCTTCATTTAAAATTAATTTGTTAATTGTACCTGTGGTTTTTTAAGTAGTAATTATTTATTAGCTCATGTAGTATAATAAGTCATATTTAATTAGTTTTATAATTGATACATTATTATAAATAATTGCTTATTTATTATTTTATATATCATGCAGTACTTGCTTAACTTTATTTCTATCAATTACTCTTAGATAGGTAATTAGTATTTATTTTGCACGCACACATTAATATGTTTTAGTATTAGCAATACTTGTTTAAATCATACATTGACTTCTTAAAGTTATCTTAGTTACTCAATTATCATTTATTTTTTCTTATAATTATATATATATATATATATATATATATATTCATTGTTATTAATATTTAGTTTTAGTGATAACTATTTAATTATTGTGCCAATGTTTATTTTCAGTATTATGATTGTTATGATTGAAAGTAAGGTTAATATGCAATTGAACATTAAACTATAGGTCCATGGATAATTTGAGCCCTAAATTTTTAAAAAGGGCATTTTGAACTCTGTCGCACCCGAAAAATGCAATGTGGACGGCGCGAAAATGGAGGTTTCGACCTTCAGAAAGAAGACCGAAGAAAAATAAGTCGCCACCAAAATTTTGAAGAAAATATTGGGAAACCGTTTTAAAAGAGGTAAAAGTGGTCTGCGAAAACAGAAAATAGATTCGGGAGTTAATTGAGTGTGGGAAAGGTGTTAGGCACCCCACAACACCCGTTCATGAGAACGGTTACCTGAAGTTTGTTGTGCTATATTAATATAATTTTAAAATTATTTTAATTATCCTTTTTATATTCATGTGTTTGATATAAAAATGATAAGAATTAAGTGAGAAATATTTATATATTTACGAAGGAGGACTTTACTCAGAATCAGACTCTGAGGCCTACGTGCCTTGTGATGGGGATCAAAGTTTACATAGTTCGGGCTAAAGACTAGTGAAAATATTTTTTGAAGATAAATTAATTAGAAATAATTTATCATTTTGCAACTAAAATAATTTTTTAAAATTTTGATATGTGTGTTTTAAATTACAAAAAGTGATTTAATTTTAACTATTTTCTCAATTTTTAAATTTTTGGAGAAAAGAAAAGGGTTTAAAAATTAGTTTTTTTATTTTTATATTTATATTTTATGACAGAAATTTAATCGCAATACTTGCAGAGCCTTATTGGCTCATATGGTAATACAATTATTCTATATATCTGTAAAGATTTCAAAATCTTATACGATAAAAGAATTTAATAACTTAATTTATTTATTTATATTCTTATGTATGTATTTAAGTATTAATAATAATTTTTTAAGCATACATGTACATATATACTTTTTTTAAATACTCTTAATTATCATACTTGTAAAGCCTTATTGACTTTTATGGTAATATGATTATCCTAAATATCTGCGGAGATTCAAAATCCTCACACAATAAAAGATTAAATAATATATATATTTTAAATATATTTTAATGCATAATTATACAATTTATATTTTTAAACATAAAAATTTTAATCGCTATACTTGTGAAGTCTTATTGACTTTCACGGTAAGATAATTATTCTAGAGGTCTATAGATATTTAAAAATCTCATATGACCAAAAGATCTAATTAGAAAATATGATTATAATTTAAATTTATTAATTTAATTAATTAATAGTATAAAAATGTTTATTATTTTTTAAAAAATTTATATAAATTGAGAATTGATATATGTGCGAGGATTTATTATTCTACACGATAAGGTAATTAATTTAATTCTCTATGAAAATTCTTAAAATCTCACGTGAGACTTAAATATTTATTATAAAAAGAAAATTAATTTTAATAATGGGCCTTTAGACCCTATATAAATACCTACAAAATTGATCCTCATACCTGTGAAATCTTATTGATTTTCATAATATGAAATCATTTTAAATACCTGTAAAAATTCTCAAAATCTCCTACTTTAAGTTTTAAAAATTGATATTTGTGCTTAGCATATGACCATAAAAAATATGTATATTCAAGAACCATTCATTTGAATATAAAATTCATAGAAGCAATTAATAAGGAGTAAACCAACTTTACGTACACTCTCACAATGCCTGTAACTGAGAAAGGAAGAGGAGATGAAGATCGAGTACATGCACGCACACCACCGTCGGCCATAGAGTGATTTGGAATGTGAAGAAGAAGAGGTAAAGTTCAGTTTCTTTTCCAAACCTTCAGATACACCAAGCACCAAGCCGAGAAGAAGGCTGGAGTTCTATCGAGATACCATGGAGGAGAACGGAGTGCTCAGTTAGTGATGGCAAAACGAGAGGAAGGAAAGAGAGATGCTGGCTGCACAAAAAGGAAGAGGAAGGAGATCCTTATGCGTCCACAATCGCCTCATGGATAGAGCAAAAAAAATGACACAAAGCAGGGGAGAGGGAAAATTCACGATCTGGACTCTCCAGTAATCGATCTATCCCTCGATCTTCCTATGTGCATGTCGCCTCTATGCTCTGTTTTTCCTTCCCTGTTTCCCCCTCTCGATCTCTCTCTTCTTTTTCTCATCTGTCCCCTCTTCAGTTTTCAGTTTCTCTTTTCTCTCCAACCTCTTCTCTGTCTTGCTCCCCTTTTACCTCTTTTCAGACTCTCGGTCCTCTCTTTAAAGAAGATGAAGCTTGCGTGTAAGAGCTATTTGCGTGCTTCTTTTCTCTATGCCTTTCATGTATGTGTGCGTGTTATGCTCTGTGAAGCTTCCTTTCATGTGTGTGTGCATGTTCTGCTTTTTGCATTTTTCTCTGTGTTGTTTGCTCGTCCGCCCTCTGCTTCCTTCACTCGTCTGGTGTTTGGTGTGTGCTATTTCTATTTTTTTTCTTTGTGCTGTAATGTGCAGCACTGAAGGATTTATTTCTCCTCTCTGTTTTTTTTTTGTTTTGGCTGTGGGTGAAAAGCACACCCAACCTTTAATTAGTTTTTTTTTAAATTAATGTTTATCGTTTTTGAAATTGGATTGAGAGGTAAATTATATATATATATATATAATGAAAAATAACAAATTTTAAGGAGAGAAATTTAAAAATAGTTAGGTCTCAAAAAGTTAATTCTCAATATCTTTGGATGGTTGGGATAAATTGGGAGAGATTTTAAAAGATTTAAATAATATTTATTTTAAATTTTGTTACATTATTATTTTTTTAAAATATAATCCTTAGAAGGATTAAACTTCATTTTTGTATTTTTATATTTTTTTGGTTATTTATTATTATTGTTATTAAACTTAGAAAATGCTCGGATAAAATACAGTGTTTACAA